ATTAGATATATTCGGGTCAAATTAAAGATCTCACCACCAAATTATCAGATTCAAAATATGGGCTGTTGTTGGCGTCAATGGATCGAGATATTTAAATTTTAAGAAATTTACAGTCCATATACAATACCCACAATCTAAAATTTCAACAGAATTTTTTCTTTTTTTTTTCATGATAGTTGAATAGAGCTCCTTGAATTGTATAAGAAAAAGTATAATTCAAATTTTAAAATGAGATTTTAAAAAATCTTAGACAAAAAGTCCAAGTTACCATTATTTCTAAATATAAGGAAAACTAAACCCAAAATTCTGACCTTCGTAAATTTTAAAAAATATCTTCGAAAGATTTGAATTATACTTTTTCCAATGCAAATCGACGAGCTCTATCCAACTATCATGAAAAAAGAAGACAAAATTCTGTTGAAATTTTAGATTGTGGGCATCGTACATAGACGTAAATACCTTAATATTTAAATATCTTGATCCGTACACGCCAACAGCAGCCCATATTTGGAAATTGATAGTTTAGCAGTGAGACCTTTAATTTGATCAGAATATATCTAGTGTTACTAACGTAACAATGCAAACCCTTCCATTATGAGAATGGACGTGTCCAATGCCCGAGTGATGGACAAAATTTATGTTAAAACTTCAATTAGTCTATAGATCGATATCGTATTGAGATTCTTACTGATGAATTGAGAGGAAGCAATGGCATTTCAATTAATACAATCGTCAACGGGCGAATTCAATAAAGATTCGAGTGGTTATGAACGGGTTTTCATTAAAACAGCACATGTGTATAAAACCGTCCATAACTAAGTTTGAACGCTACCATATATAATCATTAAACATGACCTTATACGTTCATTTTATTTATCGATTATTTATTCGACTATGCAGAAATTTGTCTTCTCTCCTGCTTTACTATAATTGCTTTGTTCTTTGTCGTCCATAGTCAAGTACGTTTTTAAGCATTTATCAATAAATCATGTTGAAAGACTCGTCATCTATAAGATAATTTTTTCATCATTTTCTATGCTATTTATATTGGCAGCAATTTGATGTATACTATGAAGATAAAAACTACTACAACTAATGTCACATAATTGAATTCAATTAAGATTGTAGTAAAATGTCGTGGTACCAATTTAGTTTTGACAAATATTAATTTGGATAACAGTGGATCTTTGATACTGAACAATGATGAAATCAATTTTTTGTAAATAAATCATGTTCTTAAACATTTTGTTTTGTATATTTTCTAATTGATCGATGAAAATACAATGGATCCATCATTTTTCATCATGTACGACACGTGCTGTTGTCCTATCAGCAGTTTTTTGTCCTTTTTTAAATCGTTCATATCAGGTATGACTAACAATACTTCTTCAATTACTATGAGTTATGTTTTTTTTTTAAACATTTCTCATTGATCACTTTTAACCATCGCGAGTGAATCTTTCTTTTTTTACATTTAAAAATCTTTCTTTTTTTTTAATTGAAGTTTTCGATAATAATCGATTATAAAACAAAAGGAAGACATATTTGAATTTCAATTCATTAATTACTTCTATCATTAAAAAACATGATAATATCAATAAAAGCTTATTTTTTAATAGTATGTTTTAATCACGATAATATTATAAACAAAACTTCAAAGACACTCAGAAATGTTTATATGATGAATCAAAATTGACATGAAATTTTAAAAGCAACAAATTATTAAAACAAAATGAATTTACAAAACCAATCAATGAAGAAATTCAAAAACATTTATATAATTACTATTCATAACTTTAAGTATTTAAATATTCATCTATGTAAACATACTTCATTAAGGTTCTATCTAATCATTCGTTTCATTTAGAAAAAAATTGTAATTTGTCCTAAGTGGGCAATCATTAAAAAAGTAATTTTCTCTTATATGAAAATCGATATTTGATATCAAACGTATGATATCAAACTTCAATCAAATATGTAAGTGAACAATTTGATGAAAATCAAGGTTAACATTGACTTAACTTTCTCGATACTTAAACATTCACCATTAATTACAATGAAGAGGGTTCATACTCAAATTTGTTCGTTATCTTGGATTATTACTTGTCTTGATTATGGTCACGCCTTAAGCCATTCGTCACACTCATCATCAAAGTATAGTATTCGATTTATGCATATGTATCATTAGATATGTAATAATGATATGCAATACTGATTGTCCTTAATCATATGGTATCTACAACCTCTGTA